ATGTTTGAACTTTGCCCTGTAATTTATTTAAATAAATCAAAATTAGGCCTCATCAAAAAAGAGGGTCATCTCTGATTTTAAAGCAGGCTGGGCATAGCTCCCGACGGACCCTCTGACATTTGTCTGTGATACTCATGGCTTCTGAGCAAGTGAATGGAGACCCGCTCGCAGGATTTCACTGTGCCTCTGGGTCCTCAGGCAGACACATTGCTCTATCAGGATTACTCTCGGCTAAATGGCCACATTTAAATATCAGTCTTTAAAAATTAAGACACTGTTCAACGATATTTTATATCCTATACCAGGAACTTGTGCTTATGTGTGGTGGTATGTGAGAGTATTACAAAAAAAAAGAAAATCACTAAATGTATCCCAAAAATGTGCAGAAAAATCCTGTAAATGGAGTTTTTAAGTGAGAACTGGATCAAGTCAAGAGTCTACTTTTGGGAAAAGATGCAGAGAAATGAGAAATAAGGGCCTGAGGAGAGCAGTCTGAAGAATGGCATTTCCTGCGCCTCCGCAAGCCCCAGCATCTGGGGAATCTCTGATCCAGAGGCTGTGCTGTGTGATTAAAATCCTTATAGTTTAAAACGGTCCCTCTCCTCTCATTCAAACACAGAATGTGTTCACAGGGTAAGACACGAAAAAAGTGGTAGTCTCCGTATTCAAACTAGATACAAGAGGTTAGATTGGATTTTTGTATAATAAATTTATAGAACACAGTGTAGTGTAGGGACAAAAAACCAAACAAGCTTGCTTTATACTCAGAAAAGCAAATTGAAGTTAGTTTGAAATAGTTATTCCTTCAAGGCAAGCATGGGCCTATTTCAGGCTTTTTGTTGTTGCTGCTTGGTCACTAATTCATGCCTGACTCTTAACCTCCCGATGGACTGGGGCCTGCCAGGGCTCCCTGTCCTCTAGTATCTCCCAGTGTTTACTCGGATTCATGCCCATTGAATTAGTGTTGCTATCTGACCACCTCATCCTCTTCCATCCCCTTCTGCGGCTTTCAGTCTTTCCCAGCATCAGGCTCTTTTCCAATGAGTCAGCTCTTCGCATCAGGTGACCAAAGTTTGGGAGTTTCAGCTTTCATCATCAGTCCTTCCAGTGAATATTCAGGGTTGATTTCCTTTGGCACGGACTGGTTTCCTTGCTGCCCAAGAGACTCTCAAGAGTTTCTCCAGCACCACAATTTGAAAGCATCAGTTCTTCGGTGCTCAGCCTTCTTTATGGTCCAGCTCTCACATCCATGTATGACTACTAGAAAACCCATGACTTTGATTATACAGACCTTTGTCAGCAAAGTGATGTCTCTGTTTTTTAATACTCCTATTTCAAGCATAAGGAGATATATATGATGACATGAGATATTTGCCTTTTGATTGATATTGATTTTCCTATATTTCTATTGATATTGTAAATTATATTAACTTTTACTGAAGTTAAACCTATAGCATTTTCTTGGGATAAATCCCACTTGTTTCTGGTGTATAACATATATGATGCTGGATTTTGTTGCTACCATTTTGTTGAGGATTTAAAACAATGTATACTTACGAAAGATACTGGTCTGAAGTTTCCTTTTCTTGTGACATTTTGATCTTCTTTTGATATTATACTACTGACCTCATAAAATGAGTTAGGAAGTATATTCTCTCCTCTTCTATTTTTGGGAGAGTTTGTTAAGAATTACTAATAATGCCTGTTTGATAGGATCTACTAGTGATGCCATCTGGGCCTGAGCTTTTCTTCATGGGGCTTTAGTTACTAACTCAATCTCTAATTGTTAGAGGTCTGTTCAAATATTCAGTTTATTTTTAAATCAGTTTTGTTAATTTGCATCTTTCTATGAATTTGTGCTTTGCTCCAAGTCAGCTAATTGTAAGAAAGCTCAGAGTAACCTGACTTGAGTTGGTCAAGGAAGGACTATCTTACTCCACTTGAGCGGCTATAACAAAATATCTGTAAAAAGTTATTTGTGAGAGTGCTGGAGACTAGGAAGTCCAGGATGGAGGCTCCAGCATGGCCTGGCCTGGCCCCAGCCTGCTCCTGGGTTCTGACTTCTCGCTATGTCCACACACGGCAGAGAGCCGAGAGGAGCAAGCCCTCTCTTGCCTCTAGTAAGTATGTTAATCCCATTTCTGAGGGCCCACCCCCATGACTTCATCTGTTCTTATAGATGCAAGGACCCAGCTCCTAACATCACACTGAGGGACAACTATGATATGGGGGTGAGGGACTCAAGTATTTAGTCCATAACAAGCATCTTTATCACTCTTTAAATACTGTCCATGCTAAGAAGTTTGTGAATATACTTTTTTTATTTTCTCCATTCCAAATGTGAAAGCCAACATCCAGATTATTTAACATCCACTGAAACTGAGGTAATGGTTTGCTACTTCTCCCTGTTATATAATGACACTCAATACCTCTGGAGCTTTACAAGGAATACATCTTTTTGCTAAATTACTTCAAATTGCTCTGCTTTTTTTTTATATTTTCCTGTTTCCTAGTCATTGAAACTTTCCACTTTAGATCCATTTAAGAAAAATAACCACGATTACAGATATCTTTCTAGAGTATCACATGCTTCCTTGATTTAAAGTGGGATAGAAAATTATTCCTCTTGTTGATGACTTCTGAGCATCTTGGCCACCAGGTCGGTTCCTCCCTCTGTTTCCTCAGCTTGGCGCTGCAGGCCCCATGGCTCCATGTTTCCTTCCCCAGATCTTAGTCCATCAGAAACCAGCTGGGCACAGGCCTGCCAGACCCTGCGGGGAGAGAGCCTGGAGAGTGGAGAAAAGGGAAGAGACAGCTTCATCTTCCTGCCGTCTGCCCCCCCAGCGGCAGTGGAACTGCGATCACCCCAGCATCTCAGGAAGACGCCTCCAAGGTAAGTTTCAGCTCAGCTCAGCTGCATCTTCTCTACCAGCACTGGCGTGGGTGTAGGGGCTTCCTGCCCATGCGAAGTTCTAAATCCACCCCCCAGCTCCTCCCTCATCTGTGCAATGGTTTCTCTGAATTAAATTCTCTCTCGCTTTATAGATTCTTTTTTCAATGACCCAGGCTCATGCTCAAGAGCAACAATCTCTGTCCTGAGTCACACTTAGGCTGGCGTGTCTGTGAATGTTTCCCTGCCTCAGAGTTATGCTTTGGCTAATATGCACATTGCTACCAGTGCATCTCCCCCTTTAAAGCATCCCAGGATGTATGCCTGCTTGGCTGGAGGGAAGATGCTACATGATGGTGGCTTGGGGACTCTCAGAGAAATTTTACTACTTTTATGATGTGAATGTTGGCTTCTCCAGACAAATCAGATGTATAAGGAAATGATGTCAAACTTAATAGAAAAAAAAAATTGTTCTCTTTCCATGTGGAGGTCTTCTTTTAGGTTAGTTTGTGCCCTTGGCCTCTCTTTTCTACCCACTTGCCCTTCCCGAAGACAGAAGGCAGGGATGATGTGACTCGCAAACAGGAGGAAGAAGGAGGCCTGTTCTGCTCGCCTGCCGTTTTTATTTGGAAATGTGTATCAAGCATGCATCTGAGCTCTGATCTTCCTTGTTGTAGGTTTTCAAGGGCAGGGGAGGGCAGAGGGTTTTGTCTCAGCCGGTAGCTGGTTGGGTTTAATTCAAGGCTGCTGAGTAGGAATCCCTCTTTTGCCAGAGATGGAAGCCGCTCTATGCAAACAGCCTTCTTAATTGTAACAGCAGTTATTTCATTCTCCATCTCTTTGCCTCCGAGCTCTTCCTCTTAATACATGCCAAGTGTGGAGACAGGGAAGACATCCATTAACTCTTTCAATTCCCTATCTGCAGTTTGCAAAGCAAATATTTCACTGACCCTTGTTTAGTTTTCTCAAGACAGAATCCATGCATTCCTTACTGGGAATATCAAACAAAAGGGATTTAAAGATTCTGCTAATTCCTAAAGGAGAAATGAATCTCTCTTGTTTTGGCTGTGTACTTTTAAAGCATTTCGCAGTAACGTTAATTTAAAAAGAAAGGCCTATATGAGAAAGGTACATATTATTGTTTTATCCAAAATATGTGGATTTTTTTCAACTGTTTTATCCAAAATATGAGAAAAAGCAATGTTGAGTCTTCCTACTAATTAAGCTTTCAGAGGAAAGACACTGTGGTCCTCTGAAGCTTTCTCAGTTCCTAAAACATTGGTGGTTGTCATCATGAAGCCCGTGCTATGCTATGCTCAGTAATGGGCGACTCTTTGCGACCCTGTGGACTGTAGCTTGACAGGCTCCTCTGTCCATGGAACTCTCCAGGCAAGCATACTGGAGTGGTTTGCCATTTCCTTCTCCAGGGAATTTTCCCAATCCAGTGATCCAATCCATGTCTCTTGCATCTCCTGCATTTGCAGGTGGGTTCTTTACCACTGCTCCACCTTATATGAGAAAGGTATACATTATTGTTTTATCCAGAATATGTGGTTTCATCGTTTTCATCCAAAATTTGAGAAAAGACAATGTTCAGTCTTCCAACCAATTACACTTTCAAAGGAGAGGCAGTGTGATCCTATGAACCTACTTTTAGTTCCTAAAAATCCAGTGGTTGGCATCATAGAGTCAGAGTATTTAAAAACATGGCCCAAAGCATCAACTTTTCTTCCAGATGTTTTCACAGTTTTGTCTTTTTTTTTCCATTTATTTTTATTAGTTGGAGGCTAATTACTTTACAATATTGTAGTGGGTTTTGTCATACATTGACATGAATCAGCCATGGATTTACATGTGTTCCCCATCGCGATCCTCACTCCCACCTCCCTCTCCACCCGATCCCTCTGGGTCTTCCCAGTGCACCAGCCCCAAGCACTTGTCTCATGCATGGTTTTGTCTTAAAGAGGGCACATTTGGATGTGGCCCTGAACCAACCATCACAGCATCTTCTTGAGCTGGTTTGAATGCCCACTGAGAAAGGCAGAAGCAGGCCTTGAAAGGGTAAGTGGTTACCGGAAAAGGGCAGCTCAGCCTTGAATCTTATTATGACTTAGTTATCTAGCCCAGAGAATTTACACTTGGAGGAAAAAATAAATAATGAAAGGCACGGTGATTTATAAAACAATTCTGTCCTGTTGCGATACGAGCAAAGCTGATGGCAGCTCTCGCCCTGAGCCCTCCTCTGCCTGGGCCCAGCATCTATATCGGGAAAACAGCATTTAGATCCTGCCCTTGTTGTATGAATAGATGCTTTTGAACTGTGGTGTTGGAGAAGACTCTTGAGAGTCCCTTGGACTGCAAGGAGATCCAACCAGTCCATCCAAAAGGAGATCAGTCCTGGGTGTTCTTTGGAAGGACTGATGCTGAAGCTGAAACTCCAATACTTTGGCCACCTGATGGGAAAAGCCGACTCATTTGAGAAGACCCTGATGCTGGGAAAGACTGAAGGCAGGAGGAGAAGGGGATGACAGAGGATGAGATGGTTGGATGGCATCACCGACTTGATGGACATGGGTTTAGGTGAACTCCGGGAGTTGGTGATGGACAGGGAGGCCTGGCGTGCTGCGGATCACGGGGTCACAGAGTTGGACATGACTGAGCGACTGAATTGAACTGATTACACTTAAGTTAAGAAGATGTGGAATATATATGCAATGGAATATTATTCTTCCATAAAAAGAATGAAATAATGCCATTTGTAGCAACATGGGTGGACCAAGAGACTGTCATGCTGAGCGAAGTAAATCAGATAGAGAAAGACAAATATCATATGATATTACTTATATGTGAAATCTAAAAAAAGTGATACAAATGGACTTATATACAAAACAGAAATAGATCCACAGACATAGAAAACAAACATCTTTAAACTATAATCGGCTATATTCCACATAAGTATCAAAGAGAAAAGAGACAAATGTTTGTTTTCTCAAATAAGTTCAGAACATTCACTAAAACAAAAGATCACAATTTGTGCAAAGCATTAGCATGCTAAATCTTCCCTGTACCTGTGGATGTGTTTTTATTTTTTTGATTCATTTATTTTCAGTTGAATGATAATTGCTTTACAACATTGAGTTGGTTTCTGCAATACCTCAACATGAATTAGCCATAGGTATATGTATGTCCCCACGTTCTTGAAAGTTTATCACACCTCCCACTCCATCCCATCCCTCTAGGTAGTCACAGAGCATGGGGTTTGAGTTCCCAGCATCATACGGCAAACTCCCTCTGGCTATCTATTTCACATGTGATACTGTACATGTTTCCATGCTACTCTCTCCATTTAAATGTAAGCTTATCATTTAAAATGGAAATGAATGATTTCTCCATACATATTGTTTTCCTGAAAAATTTCAGTTTCTTTCTCCTTTGTAGTGTACAGTATTTACATCTTTATGCTAATCTCGACTCCAAATCCCTATTTATCCTTTCCACATTCAACATAAGCCTGTCATCTGGGGGTTTGAAGGTCTGAGGGTAGCGACTTCTACTTAACAGCATGTCATTTGGCATCCTGTCTCCTGTAAATGCCAGGTCCATGGTTTATGGGATTTTAAAAAGGTCCAGGGAAGTATGTTGGATGGAGGTCAGTCTCCTGAATGAAAGCGCGGTGGCAGAGGCCCAGTGAAAATCCAGGAGTGATTCATGGGGTGTTCACACACCGTGTGGGGCTGGCAAAGCAGGAGACACTCTGCTATCAGACTGGAACTAAATTCTGAGACTCTCCTGTGCTGCCAAGAAATGTCATCGCAGCGCTTTCTAAACAAGCCATGAATTGGATGTCAGTGTCTTTTGGTTGAAAGTACAATAGACTTTTTGGCAGGCTCCAGGAGGTCTCTTTAGATACATCTTTCATTTTCTATTTTTGTGTTTTTGTTTTTCTACAGTTCCATTGATGCTTTTGAACTGTGGTGCTGGAGAAGACTCTTGAGAGTCTCTTGGACGGCAAGGAGATAAAAGCAGTCTCAGATAACACCAGAATGTAGAATACACTATACTCATCTTCCATAAAATACAGGATCTCTAGTGGCATAACCCTATAAATGCACTTCTTTTTACAGTGATTGTTTAATTTCTGCTGTAAAACGCTTCTTTCTAACTGTGACACTTTTTTCCTTTCCCTGACAAAGAAAAGCACTGACACCAGTGTCCTGGTTGAGGTCTTCAGGATTCCATATGGGCAACGACGCCAGGGCCAGATGGAGACTTCTTCTCTCAGCAAGAGAGTCCAGAGACTCATATGTCCTGTTCTAGGTCATCTTGGCAGCTATGTGGCAGCATGAGGCCATCGTCCCATTCTGAAGGTGAAACCCTGCACTGTAACAATGTCATGCGACTTTTCCAACATCCCACAGAGTGAAAAATATGGTTAGCACATCACTGCAGGGGTGTCTAACTCCTGATCTTCAGTCTCTTCCATAAAAACACCTAGATCCTACTGGTGGCCAAGAAGTCATTTTGCTGTCTAGTCCCACATTTGGTAAATGGTGAACACTTTCTGGCTTTCTCTAACACATGGGTTGTTTTTCTGTCACTCAGTCACGTCTGACTCTTTCCAACCCCATGGACTGCAGTACGCCAGGCTTCCCTGTCCTTCACCATCTCCCACAGTCAGCTCAAACTCATGTCCACTGAGTCCATGATGTCATCCAGTCACCTAATCCTCTGTTGTCCCCTTCTCCTCCTGCCCTCAATCTTTCCCAGCATCAGGGTCTTTTCCAGTGAGTCAGTTCTTCGCATCAGGTGGCCAAAGTATTGGAGCTTCGGCTTCAGCATCAGTCCTTCCAGTGAGTATTTGGGGTTGATTTCCTTTAGGATTGACTGGTTGGATCTCCTTTTTGGTCAAGGGACTCTCAAGAGTCTTTTCCAGCACCACAGTTCAATCATCAATTCTCCAGCGCTCAGCCTTCTTTATGGTCTAACTCTCACATCCGTACATGACTACTGGAAAAACCATAGCTTTGATTATCGTGGGATACACTGCTGAGCACTAGAGAAAATTCAATAACACATTTGTTCACAGAACACATGGTCAGTAAGCACTTATTAGGCACCTTAGCTGTGCCCAGGACTGGAATAGGTTTGAGACCATAGAACTCTTGCCCTAATAGAGCTTATGCTTTTCTGCAGGTGGGGAGCAGAATGGGAAGCATTAAGTCATAAAATTGTGTCCATCAGAGTCAAGTGTTATGAAAACAAATACAGCGAAAAACCGATCAACGAACAAAGACTAGGGTCAGAATGTGACTTGGCGGGTTGTGGTCGGGGGTGGTCTGGCATACATGAACAGGTGACCCGCAAGCAACACGGAATTAATTTCTACACCTATGGACCAAAACAACCCCAAGAAAGCAAGCCAATAGTCAAAGTAACCGTGAGCCGTGAGCAGTGAGCGGGGGGAGGTCCAGCGCCTGCAGGGCAGGACCAGGATGGAGGGGCTGCCCTTGCAGAGGCAGAGGGGAGCCCGTCTGAGCTGGGGGCCTGAAAGCAGAGCTGATCACGGAGAGGGAACCAACCATGCCCGGGGGAGGGAGGCCCGCCCCATCAGAGTCAGCGGCTGGTCCAGGTCTGAGTAGGGAAGAACTTGGCTCATCCAAGGGCTGGAGAGGAGTCAGTGGGGCTGGCGAGCAGGCTTGGGGTGGAAGGTGGCCCAGGACGGGGTGGGAGAGATGAGCGTGAGCACAACCTGGGTCCTGGGGACAGCAGTGATATTCCGGTTTATCCTAAAGCTAACGGGAAGCGTGGGAAGCAGCTTCATCTGGGTTGTGTCTGCATGCTAAGTCACTTCAGTCATGCCTGACTGTTTTCAACCCCATGGACAGAGCCTACCAGGCTCCTCTGTCCACGGGATTCCCCAGGTAAGAATACTGGAGTGTGTTGCCTTGCCCTCCTTCAGGGGATCTTCCTGACACAGGGATCGAACCCGTGTCACTTATGTCTCCTGAATTAGCAGGTGGGTTCTTCACCACTAGCGTCACCTGAAAAGAAAGAAAGTGAAGTCGCTCAGTCATGTCTGACTTTTTGCAACCCCGTGAACCATAGCCTGCCAGGCTTCTCCATCCATGGGAATCTTCAGGCAAGAGTACTGGAGTGGGTTGCCATTTCCTTCTCCAGGGGATCTTCCCGAGCCAGGAGTCGAACCTGGGTCTCCCGCGTTGCAAGCAGACTCTTTACCGTCTGAGCCCCAGGGAACCCAGTGTCCCCTGTGGAGTCCCTTAAACTGGGAAGGCGTGATCTCACTTAAGTCAGCGAAGGTCTGTGCGCTGCTGCATGACGTCTGGGCCAGAAGGGGGGAGGGGGGGCCCAGGGGAGGAAAGGCGTGTCAGTGTCAGTAATCACCTTCGAAGGGAGATCTGACGGAGCTGGTCTGCAGCACGGATGTAGGACTCTAGGAACAGCCTGTGCCTCACCATTTTCTGGATGGTGGCAGGACTTGTGCAGAGTCTAGAAAGATTTCAGAAGGAGGAAGGAGGCTGAGGAGCTGGGAGGGAGCCGGGGGTGCACCCCAAATGCCAAGGGGCTTAGAGAAGTAAAGAATCTCGTGCAGGCAGATCTCCATCTGGTGAGGTTTAGGTGTGCGCACGCTCAGTCACTCTGTCGTGTCCGACTCTTCACGACCCCATGGACTGTAGCCCACCAGGCTCCTCTATCCATGGGATTCTCCAGGCAAGAATACTGGAGGGGGCTGCCATTTCCTCCTCCAGGGGGTCTCACTGACCCAGGGACCTGCATCTCTTACATCTCTTATGTCTCCTGCATTGGCAGGTGGGTCGTTTACCTCTAGCGCTACCTGGGTCTGAAGTGAAAGTCTCTCAGTCGTGTCCGACTCTTTGCAACCCCATGGATGATAGAGTTCACAGAATTCTCCAGGCCAGAATACTGGAGTGGGTAGCCATTCTCTTCTCCAGGGGATCTTCCCAACCCAGGGATCAAGGCTGGGTCTCCCGCACAGTAGGCGGATTCTTTCCCAGCTGAGCCACCGGGGAAGTGCCCTCCACCCAGGTATTGTGACTCAAATCCGAACCCCATCGGAGAACTACCCCCACCTCATGCTGCCAGGTGGTCAGGCAGCGACACTCGGAAGCCTCCAGGGAGCGTCTCAGCACTGTGACTCACCCCGTCTTTGGACAGCCTCCCTGCCGTCACACTGCGACAGGAGTTCCTGTCAGGACTTGAGCTTGGTGGACCCACCCAGCCCATCTGGAGACCGACATGATACTGGTTCTGCACACGGACCTTCCAAACGGGCAAAAGCAGTGCTTCACTCTAAGCCTCTGTGAGCAGGTGCACGGCTGTCCCTGCTTCCACCCGCCCTCTCCCAGGCTCTCTCCCGCCACTCACTCTGGCCCTGGTTTTCCGACTGTGCTCTGCTTGTTAAACACCCTCCCAGTGAGGCATCCGGAACTAATGCTGAGGTTCGGATGAGGCCAGAGAGGCCGTAGAGAAAGGCCATCACTCCCTTCACCCCGGGTGCTCTAGGTCCATTAATCCAGGCTCAGTCTCTCCTCCCTTTGATGTCCACCCTTCCCAAGGATGCACCCCGATCCTGGTTGACTAAGCCCCCTTTCTCCACACATCCCTCTCTAAGGCAGGCTCTTGGGCTAAGCTTTGGAGCAGCAGGTTTTGGACCCAGCTCATCTCCCTGTCTGACAGCTGATGCTGTGATGGCATTCCTGGCACCGCTTTGTTGGTGACAAGAACATGATGGAAACGCAGCTAATATGACTTCGCCCATGGTCTGCGCCGGACCCAGAGTGGGCAGTTCCTGCCGCAGGAACAGCGATGATAGTCTTGTCCAGGAGCTCTGTGAGACAGAGGGCCAGGCAGGATGCTGAGCGTGTGTGTGTGTGTGTGTGTGTGTGTGTGTCAGGCAGGATGGGAGACCCTTCAAGTCACTCATGAGGCAGGACCCACAGAGGTGTGCATTTGTCTTAAACCATAGTGGAGAGCCTTAAGTACAGTCCTGAAAGGTTAGGCTTCTACTCTGCAAGAACTGGAAAATCATGGAACAAAGGATTAAAGGATTTGGAAAGTTAATTGGTGGGAAGTTTGAGGATGAACTGAAGATAATGCAATTCACCTTTTTTTTTTTTCTTTACAAGTACCATAAAGAAGTCACTAGGGGTAACTTTGGGTTATGTCAGGGTAAATGAGGGCCGTGACTGTGATGTGCTCCAGGTATGAAATGAATCAGGCATTTAGTAGCAGGGCAGCTCAAGGGGTAGGAGGAAGAGCTCTGCGTGACTGTTATTCTCCTTCAACATGAACAGCTGCAGAGAGGTTTGTATTAATAAGGTGAGGATGATGAAGTCAGAGAGTAAAACGGTAACATACAGCCATTTGTCACAAGTGTTCCTTTTTAGTTCAGTTCAGTTGCCCAGTCGTGTCTGACTCTTTGCGACCCCATGGACCGCAGCACACCAGGCCTCCCTGTCCATCACCAACTCCCGGAGCTTGCTCAAACTCATGTCCGTTGAGTTGGTGATGCCATCCAGCCATCTCATCCTCTGCTACCCCCTTCTCCTCCTGCCTTCAGTCTTTCCCAGCACCAGGGTCTTTTCTAATGAGTCAGTTCTTCGCATCAGGTGGCCAAAGTCCTGAAGCTCCTTTTGCTGTCTATTAAATAAGTAACACATTCACCTGGTTCAGAACATTTCCCTCTGATACCTGGACCCACTGGTCTATTCCCAGCAGCCCCTGCACAGCAGCCTTTAGCTTCTTACGCATGTTTCCGGTATTTCTTTGTTGCAAAGCAGTCTTGCTCCTGCCTTCTCTGCTGCGCTGTTGGGCTCTGCCCAGTGGACAAACTGCCACAGGCCAGGCGGATTAAACCACAGACATTTATTTTCTCACAACCCTGGAGGCTGACGGTCTGAGATCAAGGTAGGGGGGGCAGGGTTGATTTCTCCTGAGATTTCTCCTTGACTAGTCGACGACTGTCTTCTCCCTGGGTCTTCACATGACCACCTCTTTGTTCCTCCCTGGGTCCTGGACTAAAAAGGACCAGTCATATTGGTTTAAGGACCAGCCATATAACCCATTTAAAAGCCCTAAGCCACTTTTTTAAGACCCCTCTCTCTACACACGGTCTTATTCTGAGGTGCTGGGTATCAGGGCTTCCACATACGGATTTTGGAGAGACACGGTTCAGCTCGGAACACCTGCTCTCAGTTTCCTGGACTCTCAGAGGTAAGCAGACTGATAGTCTAGGGGCTTCCCCGGTGGCTCAGCTGGTGAAGA